GGACGGGGGCGCCCCTTCCCCGCCGAGGAGGGCCGCGGGCTGGCAGAGCGCGTCCCCATCCTCCGGCGCTCCCGTCCGCAGTGCCGCATCGACATCCCGGACGTGCCGGCGGAGACGGTGTACGACGTGCTGCACGACATTGAGTATCGCCGAAAATGGGACACCAACGTCATCGACACGCATGACATCGCCCAGGTGGCTGCCAACGCGGATGTGGGCTACTATGCCTGTGAGTGAGGGCTGGAGGGCTGCTTTGGTTGGCTGAGCCTGTCAGGAGATGGGACTGACCTCTTCAACCACCATCTTGTTGCCTCTGGAACAGACGCCCACTCTGGCTGGGCTTCCTGGCAGGAGAAATACATTCGGGGTCCAGGACACCCCTTAAGACCTCTGCTACAGGAGGTAGTTAGCACCAGTTGGGCTGGTGAGGGGTGGGGGGATGCTGCTCGTAGACTACAGTGAGATCACTGAGTGAACTAAAGGAGGACACTCGGGCAAGGCAGAAAGCCTGTAGAGTGACTGCACATCCATGCAGACCCCATGGCTTGCTCAGGAAGATAAAGCGTCTTGCTTTCTTCTTTGTCCAGGGCGGTGCCCGAAGCCCTTAAAGAACAGGGATGTGGTGACGCTGCGGTCCTGGCAGGTTCAGGATGGGTATCATGCCATCATCAACTTCTCTGTCAAACACCCGGTGAGTGAAGAGCAGGCTGGGCTGGATGGCCGTTCAGTTTCAGTGATCCTAGGGACTGCCTGGTCCTGTGAAGGGCAAAACTGGCATCCTAGGGGTGGTTGGTCACCAGCTGCATGAATTCTCCTGAATTAGGAGTCCAGAGGGTCTGCTGACTAGGATTAGCTGAGCTACACCTGCTCAGTGCCATCCTCTCACAAGTGCAGCAGGATATCTGTAGACAGCAACGTCCTGCCTGTGTCTGGGATCTATTAGGACTCCCAAAGCACCTAGCAGGTAGCTGTGTGATTCCTTTACACGCCCTCATCTTGAGGCACCTCGTCTGTGCCTCTAGCCTGGTCTGTTTGCCCTGTGTATTCAGTGTTAGACCTGAGAGGGGGAGAGGTCGGGGAAAGTGGAAGGTAGTATCTGACTGTCTAATGTGTCTGCACAGAAATACCCTCCACGCAAGGATCTGGTAAGGGCAGTGTCTCTCTTAACGGGATACCTGGTGCATTCAACTGGGCCCAGCAGCTGCAGCCTGACTTACCTGGCTCAGGTGGATCCGAAAGGTAAGTCTGAAGCACCTCTTTATTCCAGACCCTCTTTGGCATGCGTTGATGTTAATGTTGCAGCCTGCTGTGGGGGCTGCTCAGTGGTTGGTAGGAGGACAGCTATTTTCTGGCACACTAACTTCTGGTTTTCCCCCTCAATATGTTAGGGTCGTTGCCGAAGTGGGTTGTAAATAAAGCTTCCCAGTACCTGGCACCACGGGTGAGTGGAGCGTTTCCAGCATGCATGTGCCAAGTCCCACCCCTGTGGTTGGAGCAAAGGGCTGCAGAGGATGGGCCTTCCTCCGTGGCGGGGCTGCAGAATAGGGCTGAACTAGAAATGAACATTTTAGCTAATCTCTGGTGTGGTATTGCCTTATGCCAGCCTTACCAGTCTCACCAGCTGACTCTGATTCACTTCCAAAGCCAGCAGGAAGTGAATAATAGCACAATTCTGGTTCACATTTGCACAATGATCTGTCTCATCCCCACTGTTGATGCTCCATCTGAACAGGATCTGGAGGCTCGGTGGCTTTTGGAGCTCCTGAACTGGTTGGCAGAGCTGTGCTGGAGGGGTCTCTGGTGTCACAGCAGGACAGAGTGGCAGAGGATTTCAGTCCCTAGTTGACGTTGTGCAGGAAGTCTTCATTTCGTGCTTTCTAAGGCAGCTGGTGTCTTCAGGGGGTCTAGGCAAATAGAAGATGGTCCCATAAAGGAGTTTACCTGTCCTGCCCTTTTCTGTATGGGGCCCTGAGCCCTTTCTTAGGCAACCACAAAAGAAATGGATCAGGTGTTAGTACTGGCTAGATGGGAAACGTGCCTTGACTTCTTCTAAGCTTCCATGGTTGTTTTTCCCCCTCTGCTTCTCTACTTCTGATCAGATGTTGAAGAAATTGTACAAGGCCTGTGTGAAGTATCCTGCCTGGAAGCAGCAGCATGATGTAAGCCTGAAACCCTGGCTGTACCCCGAGCAGAACAAGCTTCCTCCCTTGGAGCTGTCAGAGCTGGTGCTCCAGCATGCTGCCTCGCTGGAGAACATAGATGAGAGCAGCCTGTCCGAAGTGAAGGAAGAGAGGGGTGACCACAGTGGCTCAGAGAACTGATGCTGCTTCCATTGCTGTGGGGAGAAACACTATGTGATGCTGCTCAGGCTCATCTTCGTGCTTTATATGAAAAGGACGGGTAGGGGAACGTTTAAAAAAATATATATATATATCTCTGGGGTGGTAGCTTTTCCTCTCATGAAATGACTCGGTGGATCCTAGCACACTGGACCTGTTCAGAGACTGAATGGGGCCAGGAGCACGCGGGCTGCCTGTACTGTCCTGGTTGTGCCATGCTCAGGGAAAGGAGGAGTTGTACAGTACATTTCTCAAGTGTAATCTGCTGTGCCTTAACACAATACAGCTTGTTCTGGGACTGTTGCTGTTGCTCCAAAAGGTCAGGTTACCTGCAGTACTTCTGGCTGACTGTTTTATTGGCTGGCGAGTTATTCATTGACGAGCTGTGGCTGCTCCAGTGCATGTGACTGCCTCTGTGAGCAGCTAAAAAAAAAAATCTGATGTTGTTGGACCTGTTATTTTCCCTGCAGGAATTGGTAATTAATCCAGTCTTTCCCCTCCAGTTCAGGAAGAAGGATGACATGAACTCTAGTGAGCAGTGCAAACCATACTACTGCTTGGTCAATCAAGATACCTAAGGTGTGAATGTGTCTTGAGAAAGAATCCACTCATTCCTATTATCCCACAGCAAGGCAGCCGTGGGGGCAGTGTGGTGGCTGAGAGAGCATCTGACCCTCTGAGTAACAGCAGAGAGAGAAAGCTGCCCTAGCCAGGGTCAGTCTTCCTGGAGCTACTGCAGAGGGTCTGCTTTGTAGCAGGATGAACAGATTGATGAACGCTGACAGAGATCACAGGCCTGTATTTCCAGTCCCCTGTGTGGCAGAGCGTTCATGGTACCTCCTTGCTCCTCAGCAGTACAGCTGTGTGCCAAAAGCCTGATGCACATGTTTGTTTGCCGTGTTCCCCACCAGGCAGCAGAGCACAGGGGTTAGCTTTGGGGCCAGGGACTCTGACTGAGCCTTCAGCCCAGCAAGTCTGGGCACAACAGATGGGTGTAAAGAAGAGAGTAGTGTGAAACGTTGCCCTGCTGTAATTGGAGTGTCCTTCTTCCAGCGTTTACACGTTCTGTGGGGAATGGTGTGAGAGTAGAGGCGACTGTCCTGAGACCTGCAGGCCTCTCTCTATAGAAGAGCTCTTATCTTACCTCCTCAATGTCTTATAAATAAGGTTTCCAGGGTGCTTAGTTTTCTGGCAGAAAAGCTGGTTCTTTATTCTTTGTCTTTAATTCTACCTCAGCCTGGCTCAGCTTTCTGCCCCATGTTCTGAGTTAAGGCTAACCTGGCTTTGTTAGGGCTGCTGCTCTTAGGTATTTCAAGTTAGTGCCATGACAAAATGGATAAATGGACAAAAGCCTCCTTTGCAGCTATTATTCTTTCTGGCAGTGTTAAAATGCCACTCCATGCTCATCTGAGGCTGACTTGAACCACTGGTTATGGTGGAAAAATACCCCTTATAACAGATATAAGGCAGCTGGCTTGGGTCCCACAGGCTGCAGGGGCAAGTGACCAGTCCTTGCCTTAGCTATATTGCACGCATTTCTTCTGGGTAGCACTGAGGGTGATAACAAATACAACCCTCTACAGAGACTTTCAGAATGGGAATAAGATGAAGTCCAGTTGCTGTACTAGCTTTATTTCAGTTAAGACAGGCAAATAGAAAGCACTGGATAAAAGGCCAGAGCAAGGGCTGTTCTGAGCACATACTCTAAATGGTGTATACCCCCCTGCATTTGCACCCGGCTTTCCTGATAGCTAGTATATTCTTTCATCTGTGCTCTTCCAGCAAAGAGCGCAGCAGCCTTTTTCTTTTCTGTGTGGAACAGCCACCATCCAACCAAACTCAATAGCAGGTGGGTGAATCACCCCAGCAGGAGATAAGATGTGTAAGGAGCAGGGAAAGGGAGGAGTATGAATTTCCCCCCCATGTGGCAGGGAGTTGTGATTGTGAAAGGCACAGACAAGGCTGTACTAAGTGAAGGGGGCAGCTGCAGCAGGTGAAACCCTTAAACACACAAGCAGTGCATCAGAAGGAACCTCACCAAGTGCTGACAGCAGACAGCCTAGAAACATGCTCCAAGCATCTTGGCCCAGTTATGTGGGGGCTGCTAAGCACCAAAGTAGTACAAACACAATGCCTTGGCAGAGCAGTGCAGAACCGCTACAGATATGCTTTGAGTGTGACTGGATTTTACTCTTCTTCCTTGAATGCCCAGCAAACCCAGTAGTCTAGAGCAGAGCTTGGACACTGGAGAGGGAAAGGATTTTGTGTCACCGGAAAGGAAACGAACCAGCTGATCCCTTGGAAACTACAGCCATGCTCTGCTTGAGCACGCTTGGACATTCTTGGCCTCACACCTTAGAAACAAGGGCTGGATCCAGAACCAGCAGAGCACGCTTTGAAAATAAGTCCTACTAGATTAGAAATACAGATTTTGCAAGAGAAAGCTGCCCTCCAGTACCCACTTCCATGTCAGCACCAGCAGCTTGTTTTAAAAACTAATTCAAGGAGTGCAGACTAAAGCCCCATTCATCTTCCAGATAATTAAGACTCTGTAGTGTCGCTCCAAGCAGGAAGCAGAACTGATGCCTGTGCAGCCAACAGGACAGTCGTACCTCCAGTGACAGCTGAGACTTGATGTGTCATCTTGGATATTGAGGAAAGGTTAGTGGAGGCTCTTGCAGGCCAGCCACTCCAGAGAGGCCCCAGCAGGCAGCTGTTCACTAGTGAACAGTTCTTTCCTTCTGTCTCTGATAATCTGGAAGGTAAAGAGAGAGCAAGGCTGAAAGGGCAGGAGAAGTGGTCACGGATGGTGGGGGAAGTTAGCCAAAATGCTAGAGGAAAACATGAATTCTGTGTACGCCTTCTTAAATAGATGCAGTGCTTGCTACTCTCCTGGATAGCAGCTGGCTTTAAAATAGTATGCTGACATCTCCCCCCGTCATTTCAAGTTTTTTTAAAGCATTTATAAGAAAAGTGTTTTTTAAAGTCCTCTCTTCCCTTGCTCCACACTTTTACTCTTTTCACTTTCATTCAAGGGTCAATTTCCATTTTTATGAAGAATGCTTGTTTGGCTTGACGACTTGACTTTTTTCCTGCTCCCTCTGCCTACTGCCAAGCTTTATAGGTGCAGAAACCTGGAGTTAATAATTTGGTCATTCCCTCTGACAAAATTTAAACATTCATAGAAAGGGATAAAACTACAAGCGGTGTCCACCATCAGCATGGTTCTACTAGTGACTGAACCAATTCCTGTGTTATTTAAGGATAAGTAGCTCCTTCTGCAGCTCCAAAATTAACACTTTCCTAAGCAGCCATCCTAGCTTTTAGCATTGCTTTGCTCAGCCCTACTCTACAAGTTTGCAGGTGGGTAGCTGAAGCCCTTCCTTACTGTTTTGATTGGGTAGCTGTCCTCAACCCCAAATCAAAATTTAACCCCCTTTCTGATTTGCAGGCTGCTAGTTTGATGCTGCATATGACTTTAGACTCAAAATAGCTAAGTTTATGTGGAATTGGCAAGGATGCATGACAGCCTGCTTCCCAGGGAGAAATACAGCTGGCCCACTGCACTCAAAAGCTAGCAGGCACTTACTGTAGGGGAAGTAACGTACGCGCATGGTGATTTCACGGGCAGTCTTCAGGATCTCCACAGCCTGAAAGCAAAAAGAGTTGCTCAGTGACCAGACTGAGTGAGAGGACAGGTAAGAGCAATGTATTAGCTATGCAGTGCATCAGCTTGCTTTGCACAGGGTCTGATATCAGAGTTCCGGAGGAACACTGGGACTTGTGGCCCCCCAGGTTAATGTTCCTCTGCTCTTCCTCATCAGCAAGGGTGTTTTCTTTAAAATTAGATATATGCCCTTTGTGTTGTGAATTATTTTCCCTGATCTACATATGGGGTGTGTGGGATGGGAATTACAGAGAAAGGATTACTGATGTTGTCAACGAAGGTATCTAGGTGCTTGCCTCACACTCATCCTAACTGTTAGACAATGGTGACAGGTTGCCATTTAGGTCCTGAGTTGGTGCAGGCTGAGAGGGCCGAAGGAGAAGGTAGGCTCATGCATTGCCTTTGTTCTCCTGCTCAGGAGGTGAGAGCATGCTGGGGCCTGGGCCAAGCCCTGTCCCTGCTCCAGCAGCTGGAGAGCAGGAGCACTCACCTTGCTGTGCTCAATGTCCTGGAAATCCACATCGTTCACTGAAAGTACCTGGTCCCCTTCCTGCAGCCCAGCTCTATGTGCATCTGAGTCGGGGATCACCTGAGGAGCAGACACAGCAGCACTGACCCTCTGCGGCTCCCCTCAGCACACATCCCAGCCCCAGAGAGCCTCTCCACAGTGCCTGTGCCCAGTGCACTTATACATGAGTCTAGGAGGGGATGGAGAGAGCATGAGGACTGCACTGCACCAGCAAGTCATGGGTCGGGGACAGGAAAGGAAAGGGTGTGAGATCATCTCCTTGTTGGCAAGTAGAAGCTCACAGCTGAGCTGTGCGTGCAAGAGGCAGGTCAGTCTCCATACACGCCCAGCCGGCTCTGCAACCCCCAAGGGAACAGACGGAACATGGGGAGGGAATGGCGGAAGGACAGACACACCTTAGAGATGAAGATCCCCAGCTGCGAGGCCTTTCCTCCTCGGATGTTGAAGCCCAGCTGTACGAGAAACCAGGTTAGCAGTGAAGTGTAACCACCCCCCTTTGCTCATGCATCTCTTCTAGATGGACCAAAGGTGTTAACAGCTGTAGTGATCGCCTAGGGAGCTGCAAGCACAGTCCCTCTCCGCGGACCTCTACGGCCATCCCACCTTGAGGGCTTGCCCCTGCTCCCTGTCCCTGAGTGGCTCCATGTCACAAGTTATTGCAGTTCTTTGCCTAACCCACCAAGCTCCCCCCCACCCTTTACAGCACAGCCCTTCCCAGAAGGGCAGCAGCAAGGCTTCCCCCTCCCCTCCCCGCCCCGAAGTAGTAAGAGCAGGAAAGCAGCGGTGCCTCTCTGACCTCCTGGGGCTGCCTTCGGCCTCAGTCGGCCCCTGCCATCCTCTCGCTCCT